AGGAGGTGGGACCAGTGACCCACTGTGGTCCCTTCCAGCCTAACTTAGCCCGTGATTCTGTGACACATTCTGTAACATGCTGTAACCTTCATCTCTCCAGCACTGGCAGGATGAGCCAAGAGGTTGGGATACACCAGGGAGCTGTGCATGTCTCCTTGTGCTGGTGTCCCACATGATGCTGTGTGATTCCAGACACTGAGCACCTTGGGAAAGTTGGATCCTCTGACTCCTGCCTTTGCAGCAGGCTCTGCTCAGCCTGGCAGTCACCCCTGCCCTGCCACAGGAGCTGGATGCCAAGAGCATCACCTTGCCCTGCTCGTGTGTGATTTCCCTCCCCACCCTTCTGAAATGATAATTCCTCTGACCAGGAAAGTAATGACCCTGATACATTATTTCAAATGTCATTTTTGCAAAGGGATTAATCAGCTTAGTATGAGACTGGATTACATTTTAATTTTAATAGTGCTAAATTCTTGTTGTATTTAAAATACGTTTTCCTGCTTTTTAAATTCCATCGGGCACTATCTCATTTAGTTACTGTACCTTGTTGTAATCTCTCCATTGTGAAAATCTAACAGACAATAGCCATTGTTCAGGGGTTTGGATAACTTTGACTTCAGTGCCATTGTCTGCATCAGGGATAATAGCTGAGATGGAGCAGTGAAGGCCTCAGGGCAGTTTTATCTTCCTTTGGGAAGTGTGAACACAATGTTTTGAAAGGCACAGAGGGAGGATTAAATGACAAGTTCTGTCTGTATCAAGAGCAGTGTGGCAGCAGCACTAGGGCAGTGTCATCCCCCTGCACTGGGCACTGGGGAGGTCCCAGCTCAGTGCTGTGCTCAGCTTTGGGCACTCACTGCCCAAAGGCCATTGAGGCACTGAGCGAGTCCAGCCAAGGGCAACGAGGGCAGCAAAGGGCAGAGCACATGGGCAAGGGCTGAGGGAGTTGGGTTGGTCAGCCTGGAGAAGAGGCTCAGGGGTGACCTCCTGGCTCTCTGCAACTCCTGCCAGGGCTGGAGAGAGGTGTGGGATGTGTGTCCTGCCAGGGCTGAGGGAGAGGAGAGAGGGAATGGCCTTGAGCTGAGCCAGGGCAGAGTCAGATTGGATGTGAGGAGAAATGTTTTGCCTGTTGTGGTGTTGAGGCCCTGGGATATTGCCCAGGGAGGTGGTGCAGTCACCATCCCTGGAGGTGTTTCAGAGGTGTCTGATGTGGCACTGCAGGATCTGGGTTAGGGTTTGGGGGTTCCAGCAGGGACAGGTTCATGGTTGGACTCAATGATCTTGGATGTCTCCTCCAACCTCAATGATTCTATGATTCCAGGATTGCTTTCTTCTTCTTCACTCCAATACTGAAACAGTCACAGATAAAAGCTCTTAAAACCCTAACAACTGTAGCTCTACTACTTCTATATGTGTTCTCACAGTATTAACAAATATTACTAGTTACTTTTTTAATAAACATATAATAAGAAGGTCCCTGGGTCCAATTGTGATTTTAGGTTTAAAAAAAAACACCCAGGAGAGAGAAAAAAACCAAAACACCAAAACAACTTAGAGCTGTAATTAATGGTCTTCCCAAGGAGCTTTGCATACTTCAAAGTACTTGAATGCATCCACTACATTTCTTCCACCTTTTGAGATGCTTTTTACTTACAATCAATTGCCAACGAGATGTTGATTCAAATCCTTTACCCATAGGAATCAGCTTGTAGGTAACAGCTCTCCAAATAGAATTAAACCCACATTTTAAAGTTCACACCATGAAATGGACTCTTTCACACCCTTTCCATTATTTTATTGTCAGGTTGGATTACAGTTATCAGCAGAGTGGATTGTACCCACTGAACTAGTTCAGCATTTCTTGCATCCTTTCTCAGAAGAAAGATGTGAGAGAACCCATGGCCAATGCCTCATTTCTCAGCACTTGGCTGACCACAAGAGCCTTTTTTCCATCTAACATAGGAAGTTTTCTTTACATAATCAGTGGTAATTTACAAACAATGCATTAAAATTTCACATAGATACACTATTTAACATAGGAACACGTCCCAGTGGCTTCCTTTGTTATACTCTACCCGTATGTACATTATACAGGTGTGTACATATAGTATAGTTACTTTCCTCTAAAACATGATTTGGTTAGGAGTAAGTCAAAGCACAGTGGAGCCAGACAGAAGGAGCAGGGCTGACCTTGTTCACAGTTGGACCAGCTTGTCCAGCAAAGGCATAGTCAGCTGTGACCTTAATTTGCCCAAATCTCCTGTGCACTTTAAATCCTGTCCTTCTGTAGGATCCTTGTCCAGGTGCTCAGTGCTTCACAGAGTTGGGTTGTGTCTATCCAACAGTGTGCAGAGCTTAGCTTCAGGCACTATTTCCCAAAACATTGCTTGGATCTTGCAGCTGGAAGCTAGACAGTGCTCATGGAGTCTTTTGTAATCCAGGAGGGATGAAAGGTAAAATACATTGCCAATCCAGGCTGAGAGAGTTGGGGCTGTTGAGCCTGGAGAAGAGAAGGTTGTGTGGAGAGCTCAGAGCACCTTGCAGGAGCTGAAGGGGCTCCAGGGAAGCTGCAGAGGGATCTGTGTTAGGAGCTGCAGGGACAGCACAAGGGGCAATGGGCACAAATTGAAGGAGGGAAATTGAGGTTAGATGTTAGGCAGAAGTTTTGCCTGTTGTGGTGGTGAGACCCTGTCCCAGGGTGCCCAGGGAGGCTGTGGCTGCCCCAACCCTGGCAGTGTTCACAGCCAGGTTGGCTGAGCCTTGAGCAACCTGCTCTGGTGGGAGGTGTCCCTGCCCAGGGCAGGGCTTGGGGCTAGGTGAGCTCTCAGCTCCATCCCAGACCTTAATACTCTATGATTCTATGACTTCTCTAATCCCTCACAGGCCACATGAGCACTGTCTCTGATTGTCCATTGCACAGCAGGCACCAGCAGTGTGACAACCCTCAGGTGAGTGTACAGCACCTTTTGGGTGGATGGTGAGTGTGTATTTTCAAGTATGAGAAATGCCATGTGCCATAAAACAAGCAGGACCTGGGATGTGGGCTGGAAATCAACCAGCACAGCAGGTTTCTCCATGATGCCTCTGCTTGGAGTTGCCTCCTGGAGGATGTGTCTTCCCCTTTACCCTCCAAAGAAGCAATGAAATAATCACTTTTCTGACTTGGCATTCAGATTAGACTGAAAAAGAACCAACAAAAGAGAGTTTGTAAATGTCTTCTGATTCAGTCACTGCTGGGCCAGCATGTTTAGCTAAAGACAGACCAATATATCAAATTAAAGAATATATAGGTGCCTGGGAATATCAGTCTGGAGTACTTATCAATGGCATGAGTGTTCTGGATGATGCGCAATCCCACGTGGCCCCTCAGGCCTCTCTTCCTCGATGAGTTCGATTCATTGCTCATAGCTAAATGCACAACCATCTTTTCTTGCTTTTCTTCTTCTGGTACCATCTGGTTTCTTGTATATCCTGCCAGGCTGTTGGCATCAGATTCACTGTCGTTTCCATCTAGCATCATACTTTTTGAATGAGGTATTCCACAGGAACAGGAAAACTGGGAAGATAAACAAGAAACAGAGCTGAACTCTGGGAAAATGCATGAGCAAGAGAGATTTTGCCTTTCTAGTGTCCTGCATGGAGACCTCAGAGCAACTTTTCAATATCTTAAGGGGCTACAAGGAGCTGGAGAGGAATTCTGTGTTAGGAACTGCAATGATAGGACAAGGGGTAATGGGTTCAAACTGAAGGAGGGGAAGTTTAGGTTGGATGTGAGAAAGAAGTTTTGCCTGTTGTGGTGGTGAGACCCTGTCCCAGGGTGCCCAGGGAGGCTGTGGCTGCCCCAACCCTGGCAGTGTTCACAGCCAGGTTGG